CATAATAGTTACGGAATGTTTTAATCGATTTAACTACGTAAGTTTGAAAACTATGATCATTGGATAAGCTGCTTAAAATAAATTTACACGTTTTGGTTTGTCACATATATGAGGAGTATTTTTTAATTTATTAACCCCAATTATCATAAAAGGCTCTTTTGCCTTTTTAACTATTTAGTTGTAATATTTAATAAATATTGTAAATTAAGTTAAATATGTACAATAATTTATAGACATTGCATATGTATAAACTATTTCATGTAATGCCTTAATTACTAAAGTCATGGGCTCCTCTCTTAAGTTGCATTATTTGTAACAATAAAAAAGTTACACTCAAATTGTCACTAGCTACTCAAATGAAGTGCTTGTTAGTTTGATTATTATACTCCAACATTACAAAATGTTTGTATGTACCCTAATTAAATTCTATAATATCTATACATTTTTCATTTCTTACCTGATTTAAGTTTGTAATAATAATTAACAAATCGACGAGAGCAACCTTAAGTATTACATAAATTGATGTAATGTTTAAAGTTGCTCTCTTCTCACTAAATGATTAGATAATCACCGATCTATCTTACATATGTACAATTACAGGAAAGGCCGTTTCGAGAATATCTGTACAGTGTAGTAGCGGCGTAAGATATCCACTACCCCCAGTGCCGGATTAACCACGTAGCAAGAGTAGCAATTGCTACGGGTCCCGGGCAAAAGGAGCCCCACGTATCCAAACTTGCTCATCACCGCCTAAGCGTAATTTTTGAGTGAAACTTATTATTAAGTATATTGAATTATTTGATGTCACAAAAACATAAAACGTAAAGCCTTTTTCGACTAAGGCAATTCACGAACAATCGGTAACCGACTATTTTGTTGGTGAATAAAACAATATATATTTGAATAAAATAAATATTTATGAACGCATCCAAAGATATCGAAAGTTGTCAATTCGTTTTCATTCACGGAGGTTAGAGAACGATCGCTGTAGAAAATAGTGTCCCAGAAATATGGACAAAATAAGTGAAGCGCTGCGATCGCTAAGTTGTCTCAACAAAAGCGAGCTGTTGTGCGCTAGTTTGAAATGATTATATAAAAAAATAACGAAATTATTATTTATTGATAAATAAATTATAAATTGTTTTTTATAATTTTAATTATTATAAATAATATAAATTATTATTAATATATACTATGACGACTCCGTGGCGCAGTGGCTTAGCAATGAGTGGCTGCGCTGGGAGTCGCGGGTTCGAATCCCACACGGAACAAGTATTTGTATGGTCTATAATTAATTGTTCCGGGTCTGGTTGTTTGTCCTTGTGCAATTTATGTTTGTAAACTGCCCCTACGATACAGGAGAAAATCCTAGTGTAGGGGTAGGTAAAGTTTTTTTAAAGAAAAAGAAAAGAATTATTTGTTATTATAATTATTTTATTTATAATATTTCACCATTTTTAATATGTTTTTGTCAAAAATTAAAAAAAATTACTTCGCAGATTCTACTTCCGGACGGCAGCGCGGCTATCAATTCTACAAATTTTCAGGGACAGGCTGGCTATGCTTTAGCACGTAACGATCGTTCTCCTGTTCTTTACCCTCCATGTTTTCATTTCTAAAATTCTAATTCCTATTATTTATGATTCTAATCTCACCTGCGGAATGTGGAACTAACTAACTAAATATGTGATGTGAACAAAGACTCGCCGCCATTGCAGTGCATTAGTCCTTTCTTAATAAAATTCAGTCCGCCTTATTTTACATGTCCATGTTAATAGAACTAATCCATGATTTCATAAAATCATGCCATGTAGCGTCTTATGTACGTACTGCCTTGAGAGTAAATCAAAGGATAATAGCGAAAAAATGTTGATAGAATTATTAAGCATTAACCTAACGATGACACCGTTACAGATATCAATAAAATAATTTACTATGTTTTATCGAATTAAGCTTATGGCCTATCGAAATCTGGAAAAAATCATCATACCAAACTGATGTGAATTTTAACGACATCAAACAAACATGGCTACATATACGTTGTCAACTAAGATGGAATATCCCACAGCCTGTAATTATACATAATACATAAGGTAAATGTCGAAATTTTATGTTATAAAAGTTCAATTTCTGAAAAACTCGCAAATTCTGAAAATGCCGCGATTAATCGAAAATCGATCTTTTAATTCTCTATTCTAGTATGTTCGATTCGAATCGATTCAGAGATCGATTTTTTTTAAGAGTGAATCGACATGCCTACAATGAGTTGTGTTGATCCACTTTATACCTCGGTCCAGTGTACCCCAACTTCCTAATAACATTTCAAGTGTGCACACTGCACACCCGTAGTTAAGTTTCGGGAACAGCGCTGAATCTTTTTCAAAAGCAACGAGTTTGTCTCGGTAACATTTAATTACTATTTCATTACAATAACAAATTTAAACTAATTCAGTACAATACTGACTTCCTTCACTAGGTGATGTAATTCCTTTGATGAGAACTATAATTAATATTATTCTCAATGCAACGGCTTTTATAGAATGACCGAATTGCCAAATCAAGTCACTTGACTGAACTGAAAGTGGGAATGACACCTTGGTTTGACAAGCAATAACACACATACAGAAGACGCAGACTCCTCTGTTTATTTAAGTAATTACTCTGTCTTCTGTAACGTTACACTTCATAACATGTTTTGAGTACCTACCTAATCTAATATCTAAAGCTTAATCGGCACAATTAGTGATCAACATGTAAAATTATGGCTACCTGCAAATATCATGTTTACGAGTAATCTAATATCAATAGCTTAGTCAGGACAATTTGGGACATGATGTTGTTATGAATTTATGATATTACAGTCACTTCCAGATTACATAACTACGCAGTTACGGTAAACAAAAACAGTGTACATAAAACCCAAGGAGAATGAATCACGTTTATAAATAGCTAACTAATACGCACTGACCATACTTTCCTCTATGGCACTGACCTAGTTTAAATGGAGGTCAGTTCTAATTTTCAGTTTATACAAAGGTACTCTGTGAAATATACCTAGCCTTATGTCTATGGCCCTCAAAAATTGATTTTGACAGCAATTGACTTGGATTGACGTTTCTGCACACCCACCCACGTGACGCGGCAAGCGCCGACGCGACGCGTTTGAATAATATGATATGCGACGCCATTACAGTTTCGTTTGTTGTAGTGTTGTTGTGTTGATTGAATTCCGCCAACCCCCTCAATTTGAAACTGTAATAATACCAAAATTTTCATAATGTTTAATACGTGCTGTATTGAAAATTGTGCTAGTAGACGCAAAGACGTTAAATTACATAAGTTTCCAATATCTGAGATAAGACTCCATAAGTGTATAAATAGTGATAATTTAAATAGGTTAAGTGTACAAGAACTTCATAAATTGCACGTGTGCCATAAACACTGAGCTGCGATTCATTAACTCTGTATCATCTCATCTTTACCAGAACGCATATCCCACGTTGTTAACGGAAGATGAGATCACGTCTGGGGTTCCACTAAGAGCAAATGAAGATAGCCGTCAGTATTTTTTTATTAAAATTTTCATTCATCCTAGACATGTGTAGATCACTCATTTCTAGCGAACGGATCATTCTAGTACATTTCGTCACGCGTACCGGTACATTCGGATCGATCATTCAAATGGATCCTTTCTGGCTCCAGTACCATCCAGTACTCTGTGTCTGTAAGATCCATTGGGAACAAATGGGAAAAAAAAATTTATGACTTTGTAATGCTATCATCGCCATCTACTGCATGTTATAGGTAATAAAGCATTTTATCGAACAAAAATTTATGGATTTTCAAGGTGGTAAGTCCAAAAGATGCTAGATGGCATAAACACAAAAATTTCATTGATTTGATTTAATTGATAACTTTATTTATTATTGTTATTATTATATATTTTATTAATTTAATAAATTTGTTTATTTTTAAATTTCATTCATAACTATACTTAATTTCATCGATTCTTATAAATTTACTTTGCATTTAGGCCATCTAGCATCTATTGAGCGTACCACCTTAAGTCTCATCCATTTTGGTTTGATTTCGATAAAATGAGAATTGACTTTAACTATAGATCGAATAAGATGGCGCTATTTATTTCAGCAATTTAAAACAGCAATTTTAGTAAAAAGAAGATATTGTTTTCATCTAATATTATAAAATTTAGGCTTCACATGTCTAAAAATAAGGATTGTAATGTTTATTGGCTACAAAGTACTTAATATGATGATTTTCTTATAAGATAAAAGTTTATCTTATATGAAAATCATCATATTAAATAAATAATTTGCCCTGAAATCTTTTGAAGTGTTATTTTTAGTAAACCCCACGAAACTAAGGTGTTTTTAAAGTCCTTTTTTATAGGCCTTTACCACGAAATGATATTTTTAACTCATAGATGCAACAATCAAATATAATAAACGATTAAATGTAAAATATTTTTTTATTTTACTTATATAATAATAAAAAACCCTTATATAATAAATACTCTTGATACCACCTGATACTCAGCTATAGGTAATCAGCTCAGCAGTCTGCGTTGAGCAGTGTGCAATGTGCATTTGATTTGCTTTGCTTGTCTCTTGAAGTAGGTTAGTTTTCTGAAGGTTTCGTTCGTTTCTTCCTTATGTTTATTTTTAATAGCTTAACATATTTATGAGATATTTTGTCAGTAATATTTTAGTAAGTATATTCTTTTAGGTGTTCAATAAAACAATAACATTTATTTAGCTGAATTTGGTGATGGTGGTTTTAATCTAAGGTTAATGGTGGCTTGTAATCTCATTTTAAAAATTGTAAATTGAAAATTAACAGTTAAAATGTCTACGCCTCAAAACAAAAGGAGTGAAATTTGGAAACATTTTTCCCTTGTGTCAAATGGGAAGGCTAAATGCAGCTACTGTCAAAGGACACTAAGTTACATAGGAGGGGCTACAGGAAATTTATTTAGGCATATGAAGTCACAGCATAAAGGAGTTTCTCTTGAAAGAGTAACGTATACTCCTGATAAATGTACTACAGTCACTGAACTAACGCAGGGTACAGAAATTTCTGCCCCAATAGAGCAAACAGAATCGGTAAAAAGAATTAGAGAACCCAACCCTCAGCAGTTAAATCAAACAAAAACAGCGCCCGCCCTAACCCAAGGCACAATGTCCACATACGTACGCAGATCTATATCAGTATCTCTTTCAAAACAAATAGATGAACAACTTTTAAGGGTAATAGTTAAAGCATATTACCCATTTAGTATAGTTGAAGATAAAGAGTTTAAAAAATTAATTTTCTTGTTGTGCCCTGCTTACTCCATGCCAACTCGAAAAACTGTCTCGAATTCACTTATTCCACGGTTGTACAATGAAACAAAAGAAAAGGTTGTAAAAACATTATCCTCAGTGGACGCAGCTTGTCTTACTACTGATGGTTGGACGTCCATAACTCAGCAAAGTTATGTTGCTATAACTGCACATTTTATTCGAGAAGTAGATGACATTAGTACCTTACAATCATGCCTGTTAGGATGCATACCCTACGATAGTAGTCATACCGCACAAAATCTAGGTATGTTTATAGCAGAAGAGGTGAAGAAATGGGGTCTACAAAATAAAGTAATTTGTGTAGTCACAGATAACGCACCAAACATTGTAGCTGCTGTAAGAAACAATAATTGGAGACACATACCTTGCTTTGCCCACTCCCTGAATTTAGTTTTAGGAGATGGTATGAAAATAATACACGCAGAATTGTCAAAAATAAAGGATATTGTTGCTTATTTTAAAAGAAGTTCTAAAGCTCTAGCAAAATTATCTGTTATGCAAAATCAATTAAACCTTCCGGCCATAAAATTAAAACAAGACTGTGTAACCAGGTGGAATTCAACGTATGATATGTTATCCTGCATCTTAAAAGTAAGGGCAGCTGTAATCGCTGTTCTAGCAGTTGAAAATCCAGAGTTAAATTGTCTATCGCCGTCAGACTGGGCAATGTTAGAGAAAGCAGCTAGTGTTTTAGAAATTTTCAAGTTAATTACTGAGGAAATATCCGCTGAAAAAAATGTGACATTGTCCAAGTTAATGTTAATGATAAAAGCCATAAACAAACATTTAATTAAAGCATCCGCAGAATACGTTAATGATGTAAAGGTCACCAAGCTTGTGCAGGAGTTACAAAATTCCATGTCAGTTAGATTTTGTGAAATGGACACTCAAGAGCTTATAACGCAGGCAACTTTTTTAGATCCCAGATTTAAAAAATTTGGTTTTACTGATGCAGTAAAATATGAGAGGTGTGTAAATTTCTTAAAACGCAAAATTTTGACCACTCCATATCTCTGCTCTAATATTCAAGATCCCCAGCCATCTACATCCCTTCAACCGCCTCCTTCATCGCTACTTTGGGAAGACTTTGATAATCAAGTTGAATACATCCTTTCTAATCCGGATCCTCATGCTGCTAGTGTCATAGAGATAGACAGATATATGAATGAACCACTTATACAAAGAAATGATGATCCGTTAATGTGGTGGGATAACCATAAATATATTTATCCAAGATTATACACATTAATGAGGCGTAGATTGTGTATTATGGCCAGCAGCGTGCCCTGTGAACGCATATTCTCCAAAGCAGGGTTAACTATATCTTACAAAAAAATATGCCGGTAGATGGCACGGTAAACATCGAGCTCGTGGATAAAAATAGTAAAAAAATAGTTTTAAAGTGATAATAGCCTTATTTGTGTAATAGTAGTGAATAATTGGTGGTAATATAAACACTATACTGTTATCTGTGGAAAAAAAAACCTATATTTAACAAAAATAAAAACGATTAAAAGTGAAGTGTGAAACCTAGTGCAAAACAATTAAAAAAAAAACACAATTATACATTAATTGGAGGGTGTTGTAAGTTAAGTCTTATTCTAGTAACAATCGAACATTAAAATTTATCAATTTATAAACTTTACAAATCATATTTAAACAAATCGAATATAATTATTCACATAAAACCGTTAATTCAAATTTTGAAGATAAAATCATAGACATTATCACTAACAGCGACATCTATTGATAAACAGTGAAAATTCTTTGTGTATAATATAATTACCATTTAACAACGTAATTACGCAGCATGACATCTAAAATCAACACGAAAACTACCAACAGCGACCACAAGATGCCGGCAGTAGTAACATGCTACAAGTGCAAAAACATAGTCGACATAAAAAAGACTGCGTTATGTTCAATATGCAGAAACAGGTACGAATTAGAATGTGATGGCTACCCGGAAAAAACATATCGCCTATTGGATCAGACATCAAAAAAGAAGTGGCGATGTAAAATGTGCATTAAAAACAAAAAAGATATCAATAGCAATATGCATAACATTACAACGAGAAAGAAACCTAATCTCACAGAACGTACTTCGCCCTCAACAGATAAATTGTGTATTGCAAATAAATTTCATTGTTTTGAATCTTCACAGTTATCGCACCAGAACACTTCTTACGTGCTGGATTCTCACATAATTACCGATTACAATATATCGGATGAGTCATTCACCACGCCTAGTAAACTGTCTAAGAGTGTAGACGGGACCGTAACAGACATAACATCAATCTCTGAAATGAAAGTAACGATATCTCAGTTAACCTGTACACTTGAAAGTACTCAAAACGAATTAGAAAATTTGATATTAGAAAATAATGATTTACACAGACAAATACATAAGTTGACTTCGGAAAATAAAATTTTAAAATCACTCTGCCATTCTCCTACAAAAATAGGAGGTAGCCTTGGAGTTTGTAATAAAAATAAAAGACACTCATTATTAATTAATAACACATCTTCTGTACCATCTTCGCCGATAGTCAAGTCACACCTTAATCCCAACACTAACACCATCATAATATGCACAAAAAATCAGCGACTTGCAAAAAAAACTTCAGGATGCAGAGAAAGAGATCACAGGTCTTACGGAAAAAATAACAAAACTGGAACAAAAAAAATACTTTAAAACCTCGATAGAAAAACCGAACAAGATCTCATATCCCATCACAGCACAACATAAACCCGACCCTATAAAAAAATTCACATCATCGGTTCTCAACAATGCGTCGGCCTGGCTGCAGCTATATCACATTCGAGACATATGACTCAATACGAAAAATATGAAGTTACTGGTCAGACGAAACCATATGCAACCTATGCACCAAGCTATGAAATAATAAAAAAACTGTCAAAACATGACGCTAAAGTCAGACGATAAACTTATAATTTGTGTAGGGGAAAATGATTACAATATACAGCTAGTTTTATCACAGCTACAATGTATACTAGACACCTTTAGTAATAATACGATAATTGTGCTAAATGTTATTGAAAATATAAATATAAATGTTAATAAATTAAATTATTTTATTAGAAATATATGTAGGAAATATAAAAATTGTCATTTTTTGAATTGTAAACACTAATCGTTCGGAAATTTGTAAATTAATTAATTATGTTATTGACTGTAATGATTATGCAAACAAATATTTAAACCCTAGCGGAATCAGTAGACGTGTAGCAAGCAATAAGTCAAGTTTTAAAATGTGTAAAATCTTAAATGAACCCAAAAAAAGGAACAATCCCTTTTTATTTTAAGAAACAAACTGACATCTCCGCAAAACCAGTTGAACGTTTTAATAGAGGAACGTTACCTTATTATTTTCCCGTGATAAAAAAAGAATAATACATTTTTTCGACCGTAAAAAACAAATTCCTGCTGCATATAATTTTATCATTTTACATCAAAATATCGCGAGTGCTTTGTTAAAACAAGATTTAATAGAAATAACTATACAGGAGTTACAGGAGAGTAACAGTGACCCGGATGTTATTTGTCTTTCGGAAACTTTTATAAAAAAAGGTTGTGAGAAGTTTTTAAGATTAACCGGTTACATCATGGCCGCCAATTTCTGCAGAGAAAAGCAAAGAGGGGGAACCTGTATCCTAGTTAAAAAAAGGATTGCTTTTTAATGAACTGTCATTAACAAAAAAATATGCGTCGCAGAATACGTTTGAAGTCTGTGGCATTGAACTAACGTGTATTAAATTAATAACTGTCTGTCTCTACAGAACACCCCAATCAGATCCGACCCAGTTTCTATGCACACTAAATAATCTCTTACACGATTTAACTATGAAATACCGATCTAGAGCACAAATAGTATTGGCTGGTGATTTTAACATAAACACATTAAAAAGAGACAATATCACTAAAGAACTACAAGATTTATCCTATAATTACAATTTAAAAATACACATTGATGTACCCACACGAAAGTCATCTTGCATCGATCATATTTTAAGTAATATTCCGAATGCAACTGCAGCAGTACTACCACTTCATCTATCTGATCACGACACAGCACAATTATTAAGGATTCCTTTAAAACGCGATATACAAAAGCATGCGATATATTATATTTATAAAAGAGATTATAACAAAGATAATATTAGGAAATTTAGAGAATGTTTACAAAAAATGTATTGGTCAGAAGCGTATGCGGCAAATGATGCTAGCATAGCTTTCAGTAGTTTTCATGATTTGTTGTGCCTATTTTATAATCTTTGCTTTCCAAAAGTACGAATTAAAGTAGATATAAATAATAATAAAAAACAAAATTGGATAAGTAAAGGGATCAAAGCAAGTTCTAAAACCAAACGATTCTTAAGATATAAGTATTACAGGAAAACAAATGCTGTTAATAAAGCTAAATATATGACATATTCCAAACTATTACAGAAATGTATTCATAATTCAAAAAAAATTGCCAACATAAAGTTTATAAATAAAAATGACAACAAGTGTAAGGCCACGTGGAACATTATTAAAAAGGAAATAGGTAGCTCACATGACAAAAATGACATAGAAAAAAATTATAATTAATAACAATGTTTTGACGGACCCAATAGAAATAGCCTCTGCCTTTAATAATCACTTTATTAATTCGACGCACGAAACAACACACACAAAAACAAAAAAAATTGCTAAACAACACTCATAACATCAACACTATGTTTCTCAAACCCATGTCGGAAAACGAAGTTAGAAGAAAGATAATGTCATTAAAAAATACTAGTTCTGCAGGCTATGATGACATAAGTACAAAAATTCTAAAAAATTGTATCGACGAAATAATAGGAATCTTGACCCATTTAATAAACCTATCATTTTCGTGTGGAGCTTTTCCAGATCCATTAAAGTTATCCATTGTCAAACCACTATATAAAAAAGGAGAGAAACATATCGCCAATAATTATCGCCCAATAACATTGATACCTATTATGTCCAAAATTTATGAAAAGTGCATGTACAAAAGAATAATCGAATTCTGCAACAAATTTAATATAATAATTAACGAACAATACGGATTTCAAAAAGACAAATCTACTACGTTGGCCGTTTTTTCTCCTAAAAATAATCCTATCAAATTTAAATAATAATCACTTAACTACAGGGCTTTTCTTTGACCTGTCTAAAGCTTTCGACTTAGTTTCACACGACCTCCTGCTACAAAAACTTGAAAAGCTTGGGATTAGAGGGCCCACTCTTCAATGGATATCTTCATACCTCAGTAACAGACAACAATGTGTTACAATTATGAAAATAGATGAAAATAAGGATTTCATACCGTACTCGTCTGAATATAGACTCAATAGGTATGGCGTTCCACAAGGAAGTGTGCTTGGTCCTATTTTATTTATATTATATATAAATGACATTGTTAATATAACAAATCATAAATGCATATTATTCGCGGATGATATTTCAATAATTGTGACTTCTAATAAAAAAGATAATACTATTAATGACCATGAGACTGACATAAATAACACTATAGATAAATTAATTGAATGGCTTGACATAAACAATTTAAAAATAAATCTTGACAAATCTGTATATATACAATTCAATAAATGTAATAATAAAAAATATAATATTAATCTCAACATACCAAAAATAAAAGCAGTAACAAATACAAAATTTCTAGGAATAAATATAGATGAAAATTTTAACTGGAAATTGCAAGTAAACGATGTATCTACGAGATTAAATAAATTTGCATACGCCCTTAAACATTTAAAAAACGTTACCAACATAAAAACGGCTGTTCTGTCCTACCATGCATACGTCGAGTCAATACTGCGCTATGGACTTGTAATCTGGGGTAATAGCACGGATCAAAATAGAGCATTTCGCGCACAAAAAAAATGTATTCGAGCAATATGTGGGCTTAAACCAACTGAATCATGTCAACTGGTGTTTAAAAAACTTGACTTATTACCCCTACCATGTCTTTATATTTATGAAATATGCATGTTTGTATGGAAGCATAAATATTTATTTAACACGGCGGATAATGTAAACCCTCGGATGCGGCGAAACCCATACAAACTCATATTAAGTGACAATCCTAGAATAAGTAAATATAATAAAAGCTGTTTATCTATGTGTGTACGTTTATATAACAAGTTACCAAATAATATTAAAATGTTAAATACTAGATTATTTAAATCAAAATTACTGGAATACCTAGTTAAGAATAAATTTTATAGCATTATGGACTATATTAATCATAAGTCTTAATGCACGATAAAAATCTTTTGCATGCTATGTTCTCTCTAGCAAAACATGTTGTTCGAATGTATATTTGTAAAATCTTTTTCATACCATGTTTTAAGCAAATAAATATATTATTATTATTATTACAAACGTAGCAATTTGAAGCCCAATAAGGCAGAGCAATGTTTATTTTTAAATTATAACTTGTAAATATTTCGCACCTTTAGGACGAAAACGACACAATTCAAAAAAAACGAAAATTGAGTTATCGTCATATAATGACTCAAAACGAAATTCTCAATCTAACAATAGTTCAAACAAAGCCATATTCGAGCGGGAACAGGACAAAACTGTTATATCGGTCTCTTTATTACGCGGTGACATGCGGGCCTGAGTTGGGGGGGAAACGACGTAGTCAGTGTTGTGTTCGCATCGCTAAGTGTAGGACGTCGCGCAGACAGCCAGATAGTGACCCAAAGCCTATTACGTCGTTTTCATTCCGAAACTATTGGTAAGTTCTCTTTCGATTTTTAGTATGGAAACGACCAATTTAGCCTTGCGATTGTTTTCTTCCGATTTCTATGGTAATACTAGTGACTTAATCGGGTTAGTGGCATTTTATTATTAAAGACACATAGAATTCCAATAATGGATTTAAGTTTGTGTCGTGTTAATAATAAATACCGATGAATGTTTTGGAACTAAATTTGACTTATTAGAAATAAAGTCGTTTTTTTATTTATCATAGTATTATTGTTTGTGACTCATTGATTATTATGCCATTTATTTATTTATTTCTAGATTAAAAGGAAGTTGCATTGGTTAATGTGTCACTACACAAATACGGAGCCAGCAAGTTTTTAAAGAAAAGTCACTTAAAAAGATAAAAAAATGAAAAGGAGGACGGACATTATAATGGATAATGCATTAAAAAATGTTAAATATTACAAAGCAAATGAACGAAACGAGGTATGAACTACGTTCCTTAATACATTTTATACTGTGCACTTTTTATTGTAAATTTCATATTGTTTTTTTTTAACCATTGCGGTGTTTATCTTTCGTCAGGAACAGGCAGACAACAAATTGAGAGAGAATTTGGCTCTGAATTCCACAGAGATTGACAATTTACCAAAAGAAATGCCTGACATTAACAATTTTCTTATTAACATCAATCAGATTGACTTGGTAAGCAATAATTTTTGTTTAGTTTGGTGCAGACGACCAAACAGTTTGACGTTTAAAGTGCCTATAATCCGTTACAATAAGTGTAAGTGTTACCACTGATGTGCTGCAGTTGACCGTACCTACTTTAGTTCAACTTCTCAGATATTTAGCTATAGTTAAAGTGTGTGTCAGTTTATACTGATATTTTTACTAACATTTTATCTTCCGCCAGGAATCGGCTGATAGAATGAAAAACCAAAAAGAGAACATGAATCCGAATTCTGCAGTTACTGAAGAAGAATCACTAATTAAAATGACAAACAGCGGCAATATTGCTGTCAATTATGAGAGTAAACTTGTAAGTAATTATATTATATCAATTTTCATTCTAGAAAAACCATCTTATAAACAAAAGAAAACTATAGTTTGTTTTATGATTTCAGAAATCTTCAGTGTGCAGTGATACTATAGAGAACTTATTTTCAAAATCCTCATCGTTCATTGAAAACTCCCCACAGTGTACGACCAACGACATTTTTAACCTCAGCCAATATATAAAAACGGTAAATGAGAAATGTCTCCAAACCCTGCCTATAATAGATAATCTATAATAATAACTAACGTGACGTTTTGGTTCTTTTTTCAGCAGTGGACTGACACTTCAGATAATGAGTTAATTCTTAATCGAGACATACTCACCAGGAGACCTATTCAGGAAAAAAGAGTATCTTCTTCATCTTGTAATAGTTCAAGTTCATCTCGTTCAAGTTCATCAAGTTCCAGCTCCTCAAATTCTAGTCCATGCTCTTCGAGCAACGCACAAAATGTGAACTCTAACGTGATTACCTGTCATATTAATGCGGATGGTGCGAGTACCAGCCAATTAGCTACAAGAAGTCTTCGTGGTAGAGCTATTTTAAAATCAAATTATTGTGTATCACCTATTAATGCTGCTGAAAGTGATCCTGATTTAAGTGATAATGACCCTACATTTCAAGACCCCAACGAAATTTCAACGCGTCTTAGAAGCTTGTCCTCTTCCTCGACAGACTCAACTTCACAACCTGTCACAACACCCCAACATGAGATACAACAACCTGAGACAAGTAACGTAAACGAACCGAACACGACTCAAAGAATATCAAGAAAAAGGCAGCGTAACCCCGCATCCTGGAAGCAAAATATTAGTAAGGCATTGCGCAACACTGGAAAATCTTACATTTCCCTATCTAAATCTAGAAAAGAAGTTCCAGCCCGTTGTATAAAAAATCCATGCGCTCCATGTCGATTAAAATGTCCTAATCAAATTAATGAAGCCCAAAGATCTGAAATTTTTGAATCGTATTGGAACCTTGCAAGCATGGAGCTTAAAAGATCCTTTATCAGTTTTTGCATGATGGAAGTCAGGCCTAAATATAAATACACCAATGCTGAAAAGCCGAGAGCACCAAATAGTGCGTTTTACTTCACTGTTAATAATCGGAAAATTCGAGTTTGCAAAACGTTTTTTATAAACACTTTAGATATAACAGAAAGACAGATAAGAACTACAAAAGAAAAAACCAATAAAAACGGATTCATAGCTGAAGATCGCAGAGGAAAACACACTAATAGAAAGACAATTGACGATGCCATTATAAAAGACATTGAAAACCATATAAATTCAATCCCAAGGGTAGAATCACACTACTTAAGGGCTTCCACATCTAGAGAGTTCATTGAAGGAGGCAGGACCGTAAAAGATCTTTGGAGAGACTTCTCAGAAGCAAGAGATCCAAATAAACCCAAAGTAGACTACTGGCTTTACAATCAAATTTTTAATAGCAATTTTAACTTGGGATTCTTTCAGCCTAAAAAAAGATAGATGTGATCTGTGTTTGGAGTACGAAATGGCATCTGTAGATCACAAAGCAAAGCTGAAGGAAAAATTCGATACCCATTTAAAAGAGAAAGACCTTTGTCGCCTTGAAAAGAAGAACGACCGCAGAAACATTGGTGAAGGAAATATATGTACCGTATATGATTTGCAAGCAGTCATGCAATGCCCTTTAGGAGACTCGAGTTCTTTTTATTATATATCAAAACTCAACTGCCTAAATTTTACTATGGCTGAGCTGGCTCAGAAATCCGACAAGAAAACAAATAAAGAACAGGAAATTGAAGGGAATCAGGGAAGAAGGGGAGAAGATAGAATTGAAGAAGAAACTGTAGGCGCATATGGGGATGTTTATAATTACTTTTGGGATGAAAAACAAGGAAAAAGGGGGGCAAACGAAATAGGATCGTGCATATTTGAGTATTTAAAAAATGTCAGTGAAAAATATCCTGATAAACCACTGAATATAATTTTCTATTCAGATAATTGCTGTGGGCAAAATAAAAACAGGTTTATTGTATGTCTATACTCGTATATTGTGTCCAACTTTCCAAATATAATGAGTATAACTCACAAATTTCTTATTCGCGGACACACACAGAACGAGGGTGACAACGTACACAGTCTAATTGAAAAGGAAGTGAAAAAAAACCTTAAATCTGGACCAATTTACACTTCTCATCAGTATGTTGCCCTGATAAAAAGTGCCAAGAAGTCTGGAAAGCCTTTTACGGTCCTGGAATTAAGTTATGACTTTTTCATTGATTTAAAATCCCTACAAGATCAGTGGGGTTATAATTTTAATGAAGACGATGAGCGCAACCAGGTGTCTTGGAACGATGTAAAAGTTTTAAGATTCTTGAAAGCCGAACCTTTTATGTTTTTTTACAAAACATCTTACACGCAAGATAATTTTAAGCGTGTGAACATGAGAAACAAACGAAAACGAATGCCTAACCGTGACGAGGTCTCAATACCGAAAGCATACACAAATAAAATAAAATTAAGCGAAAACAAAAGGAAAGGGCTAAGCGAATTGCTGCGGAAAAAATTAGTACCCGGTTTTTATATAGATTATTATAAATCGTTAATAGATTATCAAGATAATTGACTGATGTAGGATAGATTTTGTTGTCTTTAAATATTCTATTAGATTATTGTAGAACTTACTTTTTGTTGCATAGTTGCTTTGATTTGAGTTTACGTACGTTACTAAAGACACGATTACTAAAGAAAGTTCCTAATGAACAAAGATATTGGTTTATTTTTAAGAGTTGTATGTTATTGATTTATAAAGACAGAAAAATGTTAAGTAAAGTAAAGATACTAATGGTAAAAGATCTCTGTTTATTTGTGCCGATTTATCTTTTTTTATGTCAGATTTGTATTATGTTTAAGTACGAAGAAGAGTTCCTAACAAACTAAGATCTCTGTTAGTTATTATAAGTGTTGATTTTGATTTAATGTAACGTTACTCCTAAAGGCTTATGTCAGCATAATTATAACGACCATCATCGTTTAATTGTTTCAATTCAAACATTGCCATTAATAAAAAAAACTCCTATTTCTTTAGGTTTTTTTTTCTCCCCCATTGACGCATTTTCCATTTTGGTATCCCATAATTAGTAATTTATTAAGAAAATAATAGACCTAAGTCGGAAAACGTAAAATAATTACATAAAGTTATAAAAACAAAAAAGGCGTAACTCTTAAAATGTCACTTATAAGAAATTATTTTCGGTCGATAAAAGACGCATCTCCTAAACCGTCAAACTTGAAACTTTTTTCTCGGTCCGAAAATGACTGATAAAACAAAATACTTTTTTTTCTATACTATTCCTTTTAATAATTACGTTTGTTCATGACACAATAATAGTTAATTAACCTTTTTATAATTTGTTGCAAAAACATACTTACTGACGTAAATAATTACGAAATAATAGACGAAAGAATGCAGATGTGTCAAAATCTTAAAACTTGTGTTGCTATTTCCCAAAAAGTTGCTATTTTGAGTTACGTCGTTTTCGTCCTAAAGGTGCGATTTATTTAAATAGACTTGGTGATATAACCTAAAATCTTGGTTAAATAAATTGTGGTCTGTGTATTCTCAGACCAAAACATGAGACAATCATTAACCAAATTTATAAGAAATAAGAATTATACAACTAAAATTCCAAAAATTTTATTATATTGTCTCTTACCAAATAACAAAAATCATTTATAATGATAAAAATTATTAGTTTTTAAATTTCATCTGAACATTTTTATATGATTTATTTGTGGCAATTGGTTGTCTAATTTTAATCTAATAACATCTAATCCATTTAGGATTCTAACAATCACATTACACCAGTTCCATATACATATTTTTGTTCTAATGTTCTTATAGAATTTGTCCAAAAGGCATTCATGCTCCGATGAGTTCCGATCCGATGAGACAGGTTACCACTTGCCTTAAGGGTTTCCATTTGTTATCCCGTATAACAATAGTCATGCTTATCACACCTGAAAAACAAAGATAATGATTATTTTGGCTTTACTTCAGTTATATTCACATAAAAGTAGATATTAATCAACGTTTTTATTTACACTAAAAAGGGCATTGTTAATGATAATGTATTTTCATATTTTAGTAAGTTGAAGTTCATTATTTAAATTTCTGAGGAATGAGATATTCATCATTTATAGGTATTATTTTACTGCATGTTAACATTCAGATAAACAAACATCTAAATGTCATATCATTTTTAGATTTAATATAGTATTTTCTCAAGAAAATAATTTCTTATTCTCAGAAGATTTGAGGATCAAATATAATCTTAAATCTTTTAGCCTTTTATTATGATTGTGTCATCTAAAATGAAAACAGACTTTTTGTATTGGTTAACAAGCAATCAAAATAATAAAAATACACTTATGCTAATTTTAACACTGAAAGTTTAATTTCATTTACTTAATTATCTTACCAGTATTTTCCTTGGCCAATATTTTTTTTCTAGAATCTTCTTTCATCCTTCAACTTAATGGCTGATTGGAATGATGTTCTCTGATCTAATACCAGACCTAGAGCCACAGGAATTAATCCGGTCCTTATTACCTTCTCTATCACTTTCTCTACAATATTTTTTATTATCAGTGCAGGTGTAGCTACTTGATAAAAATAAAGTGCTTTCTTATGACACATAAAGAACTTTCCACGTTTGCATTGCACTTTGCAGCTTCTCTGAACTGAGCTACTTCAATCTTGCACAATTATAAAAGAACGTTAAATTAATCCTATCCTCCATCTACGAGTACACTTCATCGTCAGATCATCATAGAGACCAGACCGGGGAATCCAGAATACAGATATCTAACTTTGATTCCGATTTAATTTGTTTGATTGACGTATCGTATTTCGATTCGTTGTTCATTTCATCTTTATAGCTTTATACCTCTCGCCAGAGATTAGTTAGTATTTACTATTTAGTAATAGTACCTATGTTCTGTATCTGTAATTCTGTTTCCTTTTTCCTTGCTCTGTACGAATAGTGTAGTGTTACCTATTCTAGCTGAATCCAAGTCGCCAAAAATTTGACGCAAAGTAAAAGATGAAAGTTTTAAAAAGTCACCCAATTTTATAAGAAATATTTTAAGAAAATGCTTTAATTTAAACTTATGTTAGGTACCTTTAGTGTTATATTATTCATCAGAAGTAATAAGGATTGTAAGCATAAGAAGTAGACTACAAAGGAATTAAAAAATACTTAAGAAGTCAGTTGCAATATCTACAATTTTATTATTTTCTAATAAAAGGGTTATAGAATAAATATCCTTTACAATCGCCTTCTTTCTGAGATAGCCTACTCGGAGACAAGTAGAAAATCACAAGCTTGGTCGCTCCGATTACTTTAAAACTAGCCTAAATAGCTAAATATCGGCTAACTTGGCAACATTTCCGAATGCGTGCACTGATTATACTGCACTGGTACACCCTACATTAAAACAATTCATTCAGATCTTTCGGGATTCGGTCGGTTTGCGGCTCATTCACAATTCAAACAAATCGCCGGTTAAAAAGGTACCGTCAATTGTTTGTGATTGGTTGTACTGGTACATTCAAAAACAAATGAATGATCCATCAATACTTTTAAGTGTTCCAGCTCAAACGAACGAATCATGCATGATTGACACATGTCTAATTCATCCAGAGAGTTATTGCAGAGAAACCAGACTGCCCGTTCCTGCTGCGCTCGACACATGCACTGCACTGCTCGGTCTGGTGCAGTGGGCAGAGAATTAATTATAATTAGTTAATGATATTACTAACATAGTTTATAAATTACTTTATCATCCCTTAGTATAGATCATGGTTCGAAATAAATTAGTATTTTATTAATCTTATAGATATACATCCTATGAAAATCCATTGCCGAACATAGGCTTCCCCCACAGATTGTCGCTAAGGGGGGATTTTGTCAAAGTTGCCACTTAGTAGTAGTATAATCCTTAATTGGTGCCACATTTGCCAGGCCCGTTAACAACAGCAATAAATATGAATGAATGAATATGAAACAAATATTCGACCCATTTCTAGTTATATACACTATTAATTTAAATACCATTACAATGCAAAATTTTCAAATTCTGGTGACAATAGCCAGTTAAATTCATTATAATTAGAGACTATAACTTATAATAGTACTTAAATACTTTACCCAAATACTTATGAAAAAATCATAAAATTTGTAGGGTCATGCTTGTAATGCCCCGGCATGGGTAAAATTATAGACATCCGGTACTTGCGTACAGGGTAGGAGAGAGAAGGTGGGTGCAGTAGGAGCCCTGCCTACCCTTGTGGAAATGTAAAAAGATTTTTTTTATTTTTTCAGAATATGTTGATCCTTTCATTGACCACTGTTATATCCAAAAGATAAAACATATGGACCACACATATTCTCAATCAATGGACAGCAGCTTCCAGAGTAACCTAAACATATTAGAAGGTAAAAGATATTTACATATTATTAGTACTACTAGTACAATACCATTTCCAAAATGAAATAAACCTACAAAATATTTTATTGCAATAAGTAAATGCCTTACATTACCCACTAATATAATGTGCTACATCAATATGTTATTTTTGTTTATAGATATTCAGATGCCCATGATCCCATCTACTTCTGAAACCGTTGAAATGATGGAGGTTGATACTCAACAAATTTTGAGAGAAGGTAGAGATTTATTTATTTGAGTGAATATTTGTTGTCTTACAGTCAATAACATTTTATAGAGACAGATCTAGTGTATATATAAATGATATATTATTCTTACCTTTACACTTGCTGAAAAATTTCTAATTTCTGACTAATATAATGCAATTGGTATTTTTACAGGTCCAATAGGCCAACCATTGTTCTCTACCCCAAATAAGACTGGTAGCAGCCGGTTACTGCAGAAAATATCGTATCTTACTCCAAATTGTAGAAGGTTGTACAAAGAATACAAGAAGTCAAGACGACAGTTAGACTTCAGGAAAAGAACCCAGAGAGCTCTTAAATTTTCTAAAGACCAGTCCTTTTTAAATATTGCTAAAAATATGAATCCATTGGCTCAAAAATTATTTTGGATGCAAATTAAAATGGCAAACAAAAATATAAAAGGGAGACGATTTTCGGATGAAGAGAAATTAATTGCTCTATCCATATTAAAGCAAAGTCCGAAATGTTACAGGTTTTTGCAAAAAAATTTTATATTGCCATCCAAAACCACTTTAAACAAAGTTGTAGCTGGCCTAGATGTTACATCTGGAATTAATCTTAAGATATTTGAGGCTCTCAAGTTAGAGGCAAGTTATTCTTATATAATTTGAAAATAACTATAATTTAGAAGTCTATAATTTTCAATTGTAGTTCTATCAACTTTTATGTTACTATCATAAAAACATTTTATTCAAACTAATAATCAAAAAAAAATTTCAGGTTGAAACTTGGCCTGAACTTAAGAAATTTTGCTCGATTCTTTTTGATGAGGTTGCATTGGAGACAGGTCTCACATATGACAAGAATAGAGACAAAATACATAGATTTGTTGAACTAAAGGATAGGACCAATGAATTTGCAGATCATGCATTGGTTTTTATGTTGCGTGGAGCAGTTCACAAATAGCAACAGCCAATTGCATACTATTTCTGCAAAGGTGCCACTTCTGCTATGGAGTTGAAGAAAATCATACTCCAAATCGTCGAAGCTGTAGGAAGCACAGGTCTTCTTCCTGTAGCTCTATGCTGTGACCAGGGAACGGCATTCCAAGCAGCCTTAAAAAGCTTTCAAGAAGAGAGCAAATACTTTCAAAAAATAGAACAGGTACATATAACTTATTGATTTATTTTTTAATTTAATTTTAATTAATTTGTAATTGTATGTGTCACATCAGCATGAAATTACGTCAACAAGAAAGTTATGATAGACTTTAATTGACCTTTCACGATAAAGCCCAATCTTGTGCCACTGTTTTTCAACTGGTTTCTATCTATATTCCCTCTGCCAGATTCCTTCTTATATTTTATTTTTTTCGTAAATTTGTTTCTTTATAAACTAGGAACCTTAGTTTAGTTTAGTTTAGTTTGCGACGGGCTGTTTTCCGCAACTCCACGTCTATGTGCGTATTTTGCGTGTGGGCAGGAATAATGTGATTATTCGAGCCATGAGATCTCCCCGAAGAAGCTCAACAGTCCCTTGATGTTGCATGCAACTTCGGGGAGTGATCCCGGCGTGCCGAGATGTTTAGCCCTGTACGTAGCGACCTCCGGACATTTCTGTAGCACGTGGGCCGCCGTTTCTTCCTCCCCCATACATGCCCTGCACAGGGGACTGTCTGTAACACCTATAGTAAATAAATGTTTGTTAAAGGTGCCATGTCCTGTGATGGCACTAGTTACTATCCTGATCTGCGGCTTGTTCAGTCTCATTAGAACTTTGGTTAAGCGACTGTTTATTACAGGTAGGGCCTCCCTAGCTTGTCTACAGTCTACTAGATTTTTCCAAAGCTGAGCGTGTTGATTAGTGAAGTGTCTACGTACCATTGAACGAACGTTACCAAAGGGGATTGGTATGATTGGTTCCGGCCCTATAGTGGCCAGAGCCGATCCTCTTCTGGCCAGTTCGTCCGCTGCATCGTTGCCTCTGGATCCACTGTGTCCCTTTATCCATTGCAGAGTCACATTGTTGTTTTTACATACCTCATTTAATCGTTGATGGCATTCATATATTAGTCCCGAGTTCACCCCATTGCAACTCAGAGCTTGTAGTACCGCCCTACTGTCGGTCAGTATTCTGATGGGGAAGTCATTAACCTTCCTAGCATCTATTGCTATGGCCGTTTGAATGATACCCATACATTCCGCCTGAAAGACCGTGTTATAGGTACCCAGCGGTGTGCATATGTGAATATTGAGGTCTTCAGAGAAAGCTCCAGAACCTACACCTTCATTTGTTTTAGAACCATCGGTGAAAATTCTAAGCTCTTTTGGGCTTAATCCTTCCGGCCGGCTGTTTTCATTTAATTGTATCTTGTATTTCTTATCGAAAACAAATTGTTTAGGAATCCTATCGTATTTGGCTTGTAGGATAGGAATTTCTGAGTAAATTCTATCAATTATGCCTGTGTGAGGGACACTATTCTTACTCCAAAGATTTAGGGTCTTGAGTCTGATGGCAGCTAAAGTCGCTTCTTGTTATATATGTAGATGAAGCGGAGTTAGCTCCAGCATCGCTTCCAAGGCTGCTGTTGGCGTAGTTCTTATGCAGCCTGTGGCAGCCATACATGCCAGTCTCTGGTAGCGCTGAAGCTTCTTAACCCTTAATTTGGTAATGTGTACTGTAAGATACAAATCATTTAAAAAAAATCTTCAGCAATATATAAACATTTTATTTGAAATCGATCGATTTTATCTTAAAGATGGATTAAGTAACAACACTAAAAAAAATATAAACTGCATTTTCGACTCATTCCCATCCCTAGTTATGTCATTCTGCGAAGATGTCGCGTCATGGGAGCAACCCATCTGTAAGTAATATCGATTTTATCTGTATTTTTATAGTTTTTGACACAAAATATTCATTGCAATGTTTTTGTATTGAACTAAACTAATAATTTCGATAAAAATCTTGTCTTGAAATGTGTTTTCTAGACCCTAGTATGCATTCTAACCTAATTGTATCCACACAGATACATTGCCAAAAACCCGGCTAAGTCGTGTAACATAATAATGTATCTGAGGGGGATACACCGTCAAAACTTAGTAAAACAACGCTTGACGTTTGAAGTTATATTTTATACTAATACTAATACATAATACTATATTTTATGGCTGTGGGAGTAACCCCCGCCCCGCCAAATCTAAGATTAATATCTGATTTATGAATTTGTCTGATTTTTTATGTAGTATTTTCGTGTTATGGTGTCTTTTATTTTATTTTTGCTTGGGTTTGGTTTTTGGTTGCATATGTTTTTTTATTTTATTGTCCATAGATACTTCAACGGGCTAGGTGTAACCGCATTTTTGCACTATTACCTGAAAGAAATGCACAGTCTGATGGTAGTGAGCTGTCAGACGTTGAAGAAGAGGAGTTCTTCCAACCTCCAGATGAAGACTGTTTTAGTTCTTCTCCGCCGTCCGTGGATTCGTCACTCGAACGAATGAATATACTTGACAGCGATGACGAAGATCCCTCTTCTGTAACACCAGCTGCACTTTCTGTGACTCACGATCGATGCAATTCAACTTCGACCTTGATGTAGCGCTTTCTCCTGTATTGAATGCTGTATTTCCTTCCAATGACAAAATTGATTACAATTCTTTACCTTCTATAAGTTCGATTCCATTATTGCCGTCACCAGCTTTACCTGTGCCAGTTACTCCATCTACATCACGTGGTCAAATATGCACGAGGTCTAGAAAGCGCGGACGAGACATGCATCCCCGACTACTAGTAAAAAGAACAAAACAACAACAATTAAATTTCCACTGGAAAAAAACACGCTTTTCCCACAGTGCTTCCATAGAACCAGTTTTATTTACAGATCCACCTCCTGAAGACATTTCTCCACGAAGGTACTTTGGACTGTTTTTCTCCGATGAAATCATTACTGAAATTGTACATCAAAGTAATGTGTATTCTGTAGAAAAAAACAGGTCGCTCTGCTAACATAACGAAGCCAGACATTGAAAATTTTGTGGCTATTCACATTCTTATGGGGGTTGTAAGAATGCCGTGTTATTTAGATTACTGGAGTTCGCGATTGAGGTATCCGCCAATTGCAGACATTATGCCTTTGAAGAAATATCAGCTAATCCGGCGATTTATTCACTTCGCTGATAATAATGAACCGAGTACGGATAGATACCAAAAGGTTCGACCTGTAATTGAAAGTGTAAGACAAAACTGCTTACGTGTTGCTGAAGAAGAGGACAGATTTAGCATTGACGAGATGACTCTTCCTTACAAAGGTAAAAAGGCTGGCAACAGGCGTCAATATAATGCAAAAAAACCAAAGAAGTGGGGCTTCAAAGCTTTTGTACGAAGTGGAGTGTCTGGATATGTTTACGACTTCCTTTTATACGGGGGTGACGATACCTTCCGCGGTATACAATTCAGCTCAGAGGAACATTCGTTAGGGTTTGGAGGTAAAGTAGTAGTGGCTCTCTGTCAATCGATTAAAAAAAGGCCATGCTTTGTATATTTCGATAACTACTACACGTCTCTCGAGCTAGTAGTGTACTTGAGAAATGAGCTGGGAATATTCAGCCTTGGTACTGTAAAGGCTAACCGCTTGCGAGGATGTCAAGAGAAATTGGATACAGATAAAGTGCTAAAAAGAAAAGGTCGGGGATCATTTTCGCAGATAGTTTGTAATCGCAATAAAGTTTCAGTCGTAAAGTGGTTAGATAATAAGCCAGTTACCTTGGCCTGTTCATTTGCTGACTCATATCCAGTTAGCAAAGTAAAAAGATATTCTAAAGAACTGAAAACGCGGACGAATGTAGATTGTCCGCAGGTTGTAAAATTTTATAACATGCATATGGGAGGTGTTGACTTGGCAGACATGTTGATAGCCCTTTATAGAACCCAAATGAAAAGTCGCAGGTGGTATATGGGCATTTTTGCTCATATGCTAGATATCAGCGTAAATAACGGATGGATTCTATATCGAAGATATTGTGTCCAGAAAAATCTCAAGAAAACCATGTCACTTAAAGAATTTCGATGCCAAATTTTTTTTCATTGGCATCCAAACCGATAGAGCACCATGATGTTCCGTATTGTAACCAAAAAATAAAAAAACCTGTAGTCCCTCGACCATTCGATGACACAAGGTATGATGGAGCAGATCACCTGCCAATTTTCGAGGAGAAAGGTCGTTGTCGCCTCTGTAAAACGGGTCAAACTAGCATTTGTTGCTCAAAATGTAGAACAAGGTTATGTCTGACTAAAGCCAGAAACTGTTTTTTCGATTTCCATATTAAAAATTAAACATTTTTCTCGATTTGTTTTATTTTTCTTTCAGAACCTAATTTTGGCAATGTATCTCTACAGATACACTGTCAGTTGCATATCATTATGTCCGTATTTGGCGGTGTATCCTGCTAGATACGGTGGATTTTCAGAAAACTACAAGATTCATTTTTTTTAAATATTTTTTTAGGATGCTAAATAAGTTACTTAATTGATATTTGTCGAAATTTCTATAAAAATTAAAAATAAATTGCCTTGCCAAATTAAGGGTTAATTGTGGTGGCTTCATTGGTCTTGGTCCACCATACCAGAGCGCCGTATGTGATCATGGGCCGGATTACAGTTTTGTAAAGCCACAGTATGATTTTTGGCGTCAGTCCCCATCTTTTGGCAATCATGTTTCTGCATTGGCAGAAAGTTATACTAGCTTTGTTGATTTTGTTTTCTATGTGTTTATTCCAGTTAAGTTTGCTGTCCAAGGTAAGACCTAAATATTTTACCTCAGAGGATAGCTGGAGTTTTGTGCTGAAAAGACTTGGAAGATGATAGTTATTCAGCATTCGTTTTTGTGTGAACATTACTAAAACCGTTTTATTAGGGTTGACGGTTAAGTCGTATTCCCTGCACCATCTCTCCACTATACGGAGAGCCGCTTGGGTCAGGTCGCACACTATGCTAGCTGTCTTTCCCGAGACCAGTATAGTCAGGTCATCAGCATAACCTACTGTATAAAAGTGATTAGTATTTAATTTGCTGATGAGTTCATTAATGACCATATTCCACAGGAGAGGTGAGAGGACCCCACCCTGCGGGCAACCTTTCTTAATTAGGATTGGTTGAGATTCACCAGCAATCTTTATTATTCGTGTACTGAGCATGCAAACTATCCAGTCGATCAGTGCCGATTCAACTTTATGTCTACTGAGTGCACCTTTTATGCTGGAGAAGTTTGTTCTGTCAAAAGCACCTTCTATATCTATGCCCCTTCTATCTTTGTAATTACCTGATGAAGTGCCGATTCTGTTGATTTGCCTAGACTGTAGGCGTGTTGCTTGTCATGTAGTGGTAAGTTCATTAGCGCCTACCCCCTTAATTCCCTTTCACACATCCTCTCCATCGTCTTTAGGAGAAAGGATGTGAGGCTAATGGGCCTGTTGTAGGATTTAGGGTCAGTGTAATCGCTCTTACCTGGTTTGGGTATAAATGTGATTTTCACTTCCCTCCATCCCCTAGGAACATATTTTAGAGCCAGACAGGCTCTCATTATGGCAACAAGTCTGACTATTAGGGCTTTACCCCCCCACTGTAGGAGTGCCGGGAATATGCCGTCAGGTCCTGCCGCCTTATAGGGGAGGAAACTGTGAATGGCCCAATGGATTTTGTCCATCGTTACCACTCTCTGTGCTAAATTCCAGTCTTCTACTGTTGGTGTCAGTATGTCGTCATGCCGGTTTGCCTCCTGGGTTAAGCAGCAACCTGGGAAGTGCGTTTTAATTAGGATGCGTTGGGCTTCATCTGGCGATGTTAAGTAGCTACCGTCGGGTTTCTTTAGAGACATGGATCCCGACGTGTTCTGTTTAGCTAGAATATTCCTTATCCTATTTGCTTGTTTGCAGGTTTCTATGTTGCCACAGAATTTACGCCACCCAGTCGAGCGTCGATACCTGATACATTTTTTGTATTCAGACTTAGCTTTCTTATATAGTAGCCAGTCTTCATCCATTGAGGTATTCATGGCCCTGTTTAGGGCTTTTCTTACCTTCTTACGATTCCTATCGAGTTCAACACCCCACCACTGTTGCTTTACCTCGGCATGCCTTGGTGGAGTGATTTCTGGACATGATTCATGGTAGCTATCTATCATGGCCTTAGTAACAGCTGCTACCTGTTCTTCTAGGAGCGACTGATCTGCTATAGTATTTATCCCCTCAGAACCCGCGAGCAAAGACGTCAACTTATTTAGGTATTTTGTTTTATCCGTCTTGCGGGGATTTCTCCATGGTGGTGTAGAGGGGATATCGACCTGTAGTGCGAAGCAGATCCATCTATGGTCTGAGCATGAGGCCTCTTTCGACAGATGCCATCCCGTAATTAGTTTGGCTGCTCCTTCTGTTGCAAGTGGGAGGTCGATTATAGTGCGACAGCGTTTGTTTATGAAAGTAGGTTCAGAACCTATGTTTAAAATGGTTAGGTTAGTACTAAATAAATATTCAACTAAAACCTTACCTCGTTCATTAGGTTTTTCCATTCCCCAAAGGGGATGATGTGCGTTGGAGTCCGTCCCGATCACAACCTCTAGTCCGGTCCTCTCGCAGAAGTTCACCAGCCTGCCGAGGTCATGAGGGGGGAGGAGTGTCTTCCTCCGGCATGTAGACCGAGGCGACGACTAAACTTCTCTCCTGTGTGTATTGTATTGCCACGGCATACATGTCTCTAGAACAGAAATCTGTTAATGGTTGTGCACAGATATCTTTAGTAGTGTAGATACACGCTCTAGGCTTGTCGTGTTCAGAGCTGTAGAATAGCTTACCTTTTAGGTTGTTTAGGCCTTTAATTTTACCAGCCCCAACCCACGGCTCCTGGATTAAGGCTATGGCAGTCCTTTGAACCTCCAACCACTTGCGTAATTGAGCCGACGCAGTTTCGCTGTGGTGGAGGTTGGCCTGCACTAGGCTAGTTTTGGACGAAGGGCACGCCATCATTGATCGCGTCCTCCCCGTCCCCGCCCAAAAATAGGCCTGCCAGAAGATCTCGGGTCTCTTCGTCAGCCACCGAGTCGGAAGTGGTCGGCAAAATGCAGTCCTCTTCGTCACTCAGTGAGCTGCCGCTGAGCCCGGTCTCCACTGGGGGCTTTGGCTCAGTAGTGCAGGCCGTTTTTTCACTGGGCTTGGCCTCCAGTGATTCCGCTGAACCGGTAACCGTGGCTCCGGTATCCATAACTTCCGGGCTGTTTTCTACCTCTTTGCTCGGTGGAGTATCAAAGAATTTACCTCCACGACCCTGGAATTTTACGTATACTGCCTCGCATACGCATGCGAGACGGCGTCCGGCCTTCATCAGGGTCGGGATGTGATCCTCCGGCACCGAAACAACGAGGAACCACCCGTCCGTCTGCTTATCAGCCTTGAGTAACAGCCAGTCCCTGATGTTAACCCAGCGGTTCTGGTACGCCAGCACGCGACCAATGTCACGTGAGTCTTTCCAGGCTCCTTGGGCATCAGGGATTAGGATACCACATTTGACTCTTTGTGGTATCTCTGACTGTTTTTTTATAGTCAGCAAGGTGTTGGATTTAAGATCGAGGGTAGCAATATTCCCCTTCAACCAGTCCAAAGCCTTCTGATCGTCGCACCACAGTTTCAGGACACCCTCCGTATATACGGGTTTGCCCCTAAAAACTGGGCCCGACGCATCAGGGTCCTGGCTACTCCACGCCTCGCTGATTATCTTCCTCTGTATTGCTACGAGGATGTCGTCTGCTACTTCCTTCGTAATGTGACCTGAACGCGCACCCGTTAAGGCCACACCCAAATCTGCTCTAGCAGCGGAAGCATAGCTCGTTTTTGCAGCCTTTGGTTGCTGTCCGAGTCGCGCTTTTTTGTGTTCCCCTCTAGGCGAGGTGGACTCTTCCAGCATCCTTTTGGCTGCTCTTTCCTTCTTCCCAGGACGCTTGGCCGCTCGCTGCTTCCTGGCGGATATCCTAGAACTGGTTCCCGCGGCCGCAACTTCCACTTGGTCTTGATTTTTATCCTTCCCAGCTTCAGTGCGGCTACTGGTTCCAGCTCCAAGCACCCCAGTCGCAGTAGCTTGCCCAGCCTCCTTGGTTTTAGTTTCGGAAGCAGCCAGTGCGGCTCGTTCTCTTCGGCCTTTTTCCCGCTGCTTGTTGTTCTTCTTTTTGGCCTTTCCACTACTGCCTGCAGGGATAGACCCTCCTGATGGTCCGTCAGGTCGGCAAGTCACCTTTTTTGGGTGCCTTGCCTTTCCCCTACGGCTCACCACTTGCCAGGCAGCAGAGAAAAGGTCGTCAGTTCGTATTGGCTCCGCAGTTTTGTCACTCGCGGGCTCTTGTTCTTTTTTCCCCTCCAGCTCCTTGGAACTGGTTTTGGAAACGTTCAGCGAGGTAGTTGTCCCTTTGATGGGGGCACCTGCGCTGGACGGTACTGTCCGTGGAACCGCCGGTTTAGTGACGGTTCCCCCTTGTTCATTGGTGTCTCTGGTAAGCACCTCTGACACCTCTCCCTCTTTCTTTTTGGGCCTTAAATTGTCCATACTATTTGTTCTTTAAAAATTCATCCGCCCGGCTTCCCACCCTCCATGGAGCCCGCACCTTTGGGAACGCCCTATTTCAGGCGTTAGGATTACCGGGAGAATATAGGGACGCGAAGTTGGCTCACAGCGCGACATCGGGAGCTCGATCCAGCTGGTAGATGGGGCTGACAAGGCCCATCCCCACCACCCAAATAAACTGTCACTTGCTCCGTCAGCATGGCCTTTACCACCACCCAGCCCCCCTTTTCAGGAAAACTAGGCAGCCCCCACATCCCTCGCCTGCGACCCTCTGACGGGGCGCTTGGCCATTTCCCTATCTGTGGCTAGCAGATAGGGCCACCGTTTAGCTTGAAATCCGGACCAAAGAGGGCGTGTTGCCTCTCGCCACTATATACCCCAGCGACGATCGGCTCAACCCTCCAGGACTCCTTCATCCCCGCGTACGGCGCTCGACTGCGCAGGTGGGTGTGTTAGTCCACCGGATACACCCACTCTCTCCGGCGGAACCGTCCCCTCCTCCTTTCTCATCCGGGCTTGGGACCGGCAATGGCGGAGTTAACTAGGAACCTTCTAAAATTACTAAAACTGCCCAGTTTACCTATTTCAGGCTGGTATTTTGTTACCTATATATGGTTAAAATTTCGAAAATCCAGCAAACAAATTAAATAGCAATACTAAATCATATTATTTTCTCTTCACAAAGGTATATAATTTCACATTATTTCTTAAATAATATGGTTGTAGATAATTTTGACCTTTGTAAGAGACTGGATGATTGATTTTAAATGCTGTGATGTGGCAACATAAGCTAATCCACAACTCCATATTATCACCCTGCCTATGTTCAGCTGTAAACTTTTGATGGGCTGTAATGGTAAAAACATACAGATTTAACAAACATAAACATACAGTCAGTTGTCGTCATTCTTGGTTGCCTAACGCCCGAACATAATATTCGATCTTAATCTATTTTTAGCTATCCAAGATTGATAATTCAATCCATTTTATGCTTAGACAGTGCCAACAACCAATCCAAGGATTAAAATTACAATCTGTAGAAGCAAGCTATCCTCGGGAGGTCGGATTACAAAAAAAGATAGACCTCTGTGGGCGAATGACAATTTGTGTGTATCAATAACCTATCTGTCAATTTTGACGTTTAGTTCGATCGGTGTAAACAATCCAAATTCGCAATCCGAGAAAAGCCTAGGATTAATCCTTCGAGTTCCAACCGATTACGTATTTTGTTTTATTTTATTTGCGCGAAAATGGATTTAACATTACTATCTAGTGACAGTGACAGTGATTTGGGAATGCTAGCTCAGTTATCTGACTCGAGTGATGAAGATGAAACCCTACGCCGCACTCCAAAGAGAATCAGAAGAGTGAACTATACGCAAAGTCTCGATGACGGTGATTTTACCTTTAGGTTTCGATTGAACAAACATGCGTTCAATTCTTTATTGTTAGAAATAACCCCATTATTACGAGTAACATCCACGAGGTAAAGCAAAGCTGGTCTATAGCAAATTAGATAATTTTTTACAATCTAAGTATATAATATACTTCATTTTATGTAATCCTTTCCAGAAATTACGGAGTATCACCATTGCATCAACTTTTGTTGACCCTACGGTTTTATGCACTAGGCACAATGTTGATATCCGTAGCAGATTTTGTTGGAGTTTCAAAATCTACAGCAGGCAGAATAGTGCGAGACACATCATCAGCAATTGCCCAATTATATGATAAATATATTTATGTTCATCGAAGGAGTGCAGACAAATTTTATAGAATTGCTGGATTTCCTCGTGTGCTTGGGGCAATTGATGGCACACATATCCGCATACAGTCTCCATGTAAGTAACTATACTCAACTCTTCTTAAAATTTTGGCAAATATGAATAAACTATGAAGTTGCTAATAATAATGTTTATATATTTTAGGCCATTTAATAGGCGAAGAATACAGAAATTGGAAGGGTTACTTTTCTTTAAATGTTCAAGGTGTTTGTGATGCAGACTTAAAGTTTATAAATGTTGTGGCTCGTTGGCCTGGTTCTACGCATGATGCAACTATATTTAATAACTCTATTCTGAGAGGTAGGTGTAAATAATATGTATTCAAATTGTAATAAATTTGAATATTTACTGTCAGAGCCTAATATTCTTTATTTTTATAACAGCTGAATGTGATGCAGGGCAATTCAGAAATCGCTGGTTACTTGGAGATAGTGCCTATCCAAACAGGCCATATTTATTAACACCTGTTCTGAATCCAGTTTCTGAAGCTGAACATAGGTACAATGAAGCACACATTAAAACTAGAAATACTATTGAACGGTATGTTAAATAAAACAGTATTATTAGATAAAATGTGTTATGGGAATACTGGTGTTTAATAAACAAACTGTTTGTATTACAGAGCATTTGGAGTATGGAAACGTAGGTTCCCTGTTGTAGCTCTTACACTACGTTTGTCAATACCAAATATGCAGGCAGTAATAATAGCAACTACAGTCCTACATAATATTTGCAGAAATCACAATCTCACAGAAATCCCCTCTGAAGTAGAACTACCATCTATCGACAATAGTACAATGCCTCATAATGTAGTTGTTAATGATATTCCTACAAACCATAGAACTGATTTGATAAATAATTATTTTATGACATTATAGAAACGTTGACACTCATTGGACAAATAACTGCCTTAATTAACATTACAGGTAAAAACAATTATGTAGAATAAGTTAGAAATTAAATTGTTAGTATTTTCTTAGTTTTAAATTCAAATGTAAAAATAAAGCAAGTATTAAAAATTAATTTCTCTATTAAAATACACATTAATTACTATATTACTATACTACTGAGATATTTATAAAAAGGAACTTAAATTATAACTGCCTTCTACTACTTCTATACCACATATGTGAGTAATAGTACTTAATCTTTTTAAAATAGTGTTAAATTGAAATAAACTGTGAAGTTCCTATTAAGTGTTACTTTTCTTTATAAATTGTTTGTGAATTTAATTATATTTATATAATTTTTATTTTTTTTTTATTTTTTTATTTATTTATTAGGAAGCCAACATGATATTGTACAATGAAAAAATGTTTACAAATTTTATAGATTAATCTGAAGTTTAGTACATATCATACTTATAGGCTAACTTAAAATGTTAAAGTAAAATAAGTAATAAGTAACGCATTATTATTATTGAAAAAGGAAGAAAGGATAATAAAATAACCTATTGTAATACATAAAACAAAGAAAAAAAAACTTTTTTTTCTACAATAACTCATGAGGTTATCTTAATTTTGTTATAAAAATGTTTTTTAATTTTATTTTTAAAAGTGGTATAAGAATCGTTGAATATGTCAAGATCGACTAATTTAGAAATTACATTATAAGTTTTTAAGGTTCTATTAATTGGAGCTGATAGTCCGACATTTGTTCTACAATACCTAGTTTTGAATAAACTATAATTTCTTATTCTATAATTAGGTCTAGGAATAACATATGATATTTTACCTAAAAGATTATTCGAGCTAATTTTATTGTTAACGATTTTGTGTAACAAGCACATGTCCATAAGCGCTCTTCGATCATTTAATGAAATCACATTACAATTATCTAGTCTTTCAATGTAAGTTAATTGCCTGTGTATTTTGTTATTATTGAAATAAAGGTACTTAAGGAATTTCTTTTGCACTCGTTCTATCCTATTTATATGTGTTTGATAATGTGGATTCCAGACAGAAGAACAATATTCGAGATTACTAAGAATAAATGAGTTAAAAAGAATTACTTTGGATTTTTTATTTTTAAAAGTTTTAGTTACCCGTTTAATTAATCCTAAAAATTTCAATGATTTTTTTATAACTTCATCCATATGCGTAGTGAAACTTAATTTGCAGTCAATTAAAATACCTAAGTCACGAATAACATTTGTCTTTTTTATGACAAAATCATTAATTTTATATTCATTAAAAATTGGATGGATTTTTTTATTAAAAGATATTTGGTAACATTTTTCATGATTAAGGATTACATTATTAAGCTCGCACCAGGAGACCAGCCTATTAAAATCATTTTGTAGTAAGTTTCCATCATCAACGGTTTTTATTTCTTTAAACAATTTTAAATCATCTGCAAAGAGAAGTACATCACTATTCAGGAAACAATTTACTACATCATTTATAAAAATATTGAACAGAGTTGGCCCCAAGTGTGAGCCCTGTGGCACACCTGAATATGCTATAAATGCCTCAGATTGAAATCCATTTATTACAACCTTTAGCTTTCGGTTGTGTAAGTAAGAAAACACCAATTTTAAAAGAGAGCTGTGGAATCCATAACATTCAAGCTTTTTTATTAGTATGGAATGATTCACGACGCCAAACGCTTTGGAGAAGTCTGTATAAATTGCATCAACTTGAAGGTTTTTGTCCACAGACACACATAAATTATCAATATATTCACAAAGATTTGACGCTGTGGACCTTCCTCTCAAAAATCCATGCTGCCTATCAGTTAGTATAGATTTCATGTGCCAATTTATAATTGGACAGATAATAGCCTCAAACACCTTTGGGAATACGGATAGTATTGATATGGGCCTGTATTTTGTTATATCGGTCCTATCTCCGCTTTTAAAAACAGGCACAACTCTAGCCTCCTTCCAAGCGCTTGGAAAAAAAACCCTCTCAAGGAAGCATTATATATGATACTTAAAGGGCGCGCTAGGGCTGCTGCACATTTCCTAGCAAAGAAAGGCGGTATATTGTCGGGACCAGCGCTTTTATTGCTGTCAAGTTTCTTAAGCTTTGATTCTACTTCCTCTACACTTATATGTATATTAGATAAAGTTTGATTAATACCAACGCATTCAATGTTAGGAATCTTATTTTCTTTGCCTATAGGATAATCAGAGTATATACTTGAGAAATGTTTTGCAAAGCTATTACATATGTCTGTATCATTGGAAAAAATTTGTGCATTTTTTTTTTATTTTTTTTTTATTTTACAACAACTAAAATACATACTAATCAAAGTTCATAAATACAGTGCAACACAAACCTATATAAGATTTTTTCTGCACACTGCAGTTCGCCGTCTTTCCAGCGCAAACATTTTAATATTATTTAGAGTAAGAAGGTAGTTCGCTCATTTCTATACAAATAACTTGAGGATGAGTTGTAGTGGCTATTTAGTTAGAGTAGTATACAGGATGTTTGGAGAAAATATTATTTTATATTTTTGGAATATACATATGATAATTATATTACATATAGTAAGTATGTTAGTTTTTAGTTATATCATGTTAGTTGATTCAAAAAGTATGTTTTTAATTTGTATTTAATATTTTTGGGATTGATATTTTCCTTCAAGGTTTTAGGTAGTTTATTAATTAATTTAGGAATAATAATCTTATTTTGTTGATCGCCATACATATTATGAGTTTTAGCTATAATTAATTTAGGGTTATATGTACTTCGAAGCCGATGTTTGTACGTAGGTATGACTTGTAATTTTGTATTAAAGAACTGTTCTACAAGTAAAGTGAGTTTTATTTTTTTTTCTATTGGCAAGATACCACAGTATTTAAATAATTGGTTGTAATTGTCCTTATATTGTTGTTTGATTTTAGTGGGGACAATTGTTTTGATTATTCTAAGTTGTAATTCATGGATTCTACAAAGATGCGATTTCCATGTTCTACCATAGCTACTTAATCCGTATTGTATTATTGATTCGGCCAGAGCCTTATAAAGGGACAATAGTATAGGAAAGGGAACTTTATATCTAACGATAGAAAATTTGGCAAGTATGGCCCTTAACTTGTCACACACTTTATTAATATGGTGCGTCCATTTAAATCGACTGTCTATTATGAGTCCAAGGTAAGGTTGTTGTTCTACTAATTCAATATGAGTACAATTACAAGTCTGGTTAGACATGTTTTTATGGAGACATTGGTGGCTGTGGGCAACGAGTTTTAAAGGAACAGATACTCTATTATGACTGGATGAAATGTACATCATTTTTGTTTTTGTGGCATTCAGAACAAGCCCCGCATCGTGAGACCATTTCATAAGGTTAGTGAAATCTTCTTGCAATTTTTGTAATGCCACATATATGTCATTTTCCGCCGCTAGTATGCAGGTATCGTCTGCAAACTGATATATCTTGCAGTTTTTAATTACATTGGCAACATTATTAACATAGGTTAAGTAATGCAAAGGCCCAAGCACAGATCCCTGTGCAGTACCGTGAGTGACTGTTTTCTTTGTACTTATAGCATTTCCTACTTTAACTCTATATGCTCTCTCTTTAACATAGTCTTTGCACCAATTTAAAAGGGGTCCTCGCAGTCCACATTCATCAAGCCTTTCAATCAGTAAGTCATGTCTAAGGGTGTCGAACGCTTTACTATAGTCAATGAAAAGAACTAGAACATGTTTTTTATTATCAAGAAAATGGTTTACGTCATCAGTAAAAGAAGATAAAAGTTGAGTGGTACTTTTATGCTGCTGAAAACCATACTGACTTTTATTTAAAATTGAGTGTTGACTATAGAAATTATTTATTTGTTTACTTATATATTTTTCAATTATTTTGTCTAATGTAGGTAATATTGTTATTGGGCGATAATTGTCGTAATCCGTTTTGCTACCTTTTTTATGTACGGGTCTTACAATTCCAGTTTTTAATTCAGTAGGGTACTTGCCTTTTTCTATACACGCATTTATTAGGTTGGCTATAGTTACCGATATTTTGTCCGCAATGGATATTAAGTCTATTGCTCGTATGTTGTCTATACCTGGTGCTTTGTTCGTTTGAATGTTTTTTATTATTTTAGCTACTGAGCTTGGAGTAGCCTTTTGATATCGAAATGTTACGTTTACAGGCAATCTGTACAAGTTCATCGGTAAAAGGGGTCGATTGCAGGACGGTACGATGCTTGAAACATTTTTCTGAAAGGCCTGAGCGAAATTATTAGCGATATCAAGTGGCGTCACTTTTTCATTTTGAAATGAATTTAAAATTATATTATCAATGGAAGGACTTGTCCGTCCCGTGATCTTATTTAGTATTTGCCAAAGTCTTATCTGGTTATTTTTATTATTATATATATCCGTTTTGATGTGCCAATTTTTTGTTTTTTGTATCAGCTTGTTAGTCGAATTTCGTATTTTATTATATATTTGTTTAGTAATCATATTGTCTGTATTTTTTAACCACAAAGAATACCAATAGTCCCTATTCTCACATGCCCTTTTAGTTTTTTCATTAATCCATTTATTTTCTGTCCTCGTTAATGTTCTATTTTTTTCCCGAATTGTTGTTAAGGCATCATTGTAGCATCTATTGAAATTATCTTTAATGAATTTGTATATTTCAATGGGGCAACTAATACCTTTAGTTGATTCCCAATCTATTTTATTTAATAAGGTAGAAACTTTTTTTGTGGTCAATATATGTTTTAAATTTAGGAGCCGCCTCTATATAGTGCTGAGATCCAACACAAGCGAATGTCGTCGCACAGTGGTCCGCTAGTACGGTTCTAAGTGTCGCAGTGTATACGTCTTGTGAATGGGACCGTGCTAATATATGGTCAATACACGATTTACTAATTACGTTATTTCTTAATTCAATTCTAGTATATTCCGAGATCCCACTCACAAGTCCGTACGTCGAGAACATTGTTGTGTATTTATGTTTTATAGGTGTTTCCACAGCGACGTCGATGTTTAAATCGCCTATTATAAAAAAGTCTTCGCGTTTATTAATTTTGTCGCATGATTGCTGCAATTCGTTTATAAATAGGTGTTTACTTAAGTTAGGCGGACGGTATATAGCGAGTAGATTGCAAGTGTAATTCGTAGGTGTGATTATTTTTGTTAGTAATCCCTCAAAATATAAAGTTTTTGTTATCGTAGTCGATACTTTATGTTTTTTATGTACGTAAATAATAACTCCGCCTCCCTTTCTGTCTTTTCTTAGGTTTACATGAGTGTTATAGTTCTTTAGTTGGAAAAGATCGATTAAATGTTCCGGGACATTCACTTCTGATAGAATAATTAAGTCAATACTAATTGGACAAGTGACTATAATGTGTTCTAAACTAGAAAAATTTGAAATTATTGACCTTATGTTAAAATGGATACACGTTAGATTAGTTTTATGGGGAATTTTATGAATAAAGTCAGTTAGGTTAGTACAGTTTTTCAATTCAGTTACGTTATTAGGTAAATTCATTGTTATTTTTCTGAATATGCGGAAATGTATGTAAGCTTAAAAAAAAAAGTTTAGAAAAAAGAGAATATGCGTTGATATATAAATGTACAGTCAATACTTTTAGCGAATTACCTACTTAGGCTCTAACTAGTCTGGCGATATCTTCTTCGCAACGGATTATGATGATGTCACCTTTTTCTTCTTTTCGTGCTCGGATGATACCTCGTTTACACCATACGTATTTGTAGGATGGTTTTAACTTTTGTTTCGCCTCCCATAGTAATTTCCTGTTATAATAAGATAAAGCTTCACGTATGTAAATAAGCTGTTTCCCTGTCGCCTCCGACAAGTTATCCACGATATCATGAGCATATAGCTTTGAGTTTTTTGCTGCTGTGATCCATTTTATTGATGTTGTTTCATTTTTAAATGTAATTTCAATATTTCCCGGCTTTTCTTTTTTTCCTGGTACACGTTTAGTAGTGTCAATATCATCAACTGAGATTGATAATTTATCTGCAATTTTTTTGACAACGTCGCTTACTATTTCTGTGTTATTATGAGGGATATTTAATATTTCAATTTGTTTGTTTAGCTGTGACTGTTCAATATCCTTCAAACGTTGCTCTAGTGCACCAACGCGCGTTTCTAAATAACTATTTTTGTTAGAGAGTTCTACATTTTTCTTCTGTAGTTCTTTCATTGTTAATTTTAAGGCATCTATAGATACTGTCATCTCGTCCATTTTATCGCTTTGATGTTGTAGAGATTTGACTATGTCTCGCAGTTCTCTTTGAAGAGCTTTTTCCATCTCTTTTGATATATCTTTCAATAACCGCTTGATATCAATTTGTACGTTTTTGGAATAGTTTCCTGTATCTTGAGCATTATCTTCCTCTTCCTCTTCGTCTTCATCACCGGGAACGTATATAGAGCTACGTCTCGGGGAATGTTCAAGACAATCTTGGCATGTCCATCCTAGATTCTCAGCGGCCTTTAGTGCATTCTTTTGCTTGTTAGTAAGACCAGAGCAGTTCCCATTTAAGTGAACTATTTTCTCGCACTGGCTACATTCTATTCCAGGATTACTTTTGGTTATATTTTTTCCACATTTATCACATTTTGTCATGTTGAGGGTAGATTAATACTTAGCTTGCGGAACTAACTTAACGTGCTTTTAGATCAAATGAACGACGACGAATCATTTAATGTCATATACGAAGGATATTCACTTTTATTATTTCTTATCTCCTTTAAATATGACCAAAAATATTTTGGATTACTAATTATATTTTCTTCTACATTTTTAATGTGATTTTTATAGCATGAGTTTATTAAGGTTTCACATCTTTTTACGCAGTAATTTAAACGACATTTCATCCAGAGGGTTTTTATACTTATTATATAAGTTTCTGTATTTATTTTTTTCTTTTAATCTTTTTATTAAGTCTTTTGAAAACCAACGCGGATATTTACTATTTCCTCTCTTATATTTCCTAATATGCCGACCTATAATCTCGCGGAGCTTGCAATAAAAGACTTTTAACATTTCATCAACATCACCACATGTAATAAAAATTTCATACCAAGATATTTTTTCTATCTCCTCGATAATAATGCTGTAATCTGCATTATAAAAATTCATTCTTTCGTTTATGTTTGTTTCTAGGTGTGAAACTGGAGTAAAATTTATACAGATTTCTAGGGGTGGGTGATGTCTGTCTATGTGACTTAAGGGATAAGGACTTTCTCTAACTTCGTTGATTATAAATGTACTTTCTTTATTACTTAATATTAGGTCAAGAGTTTTGTTGAAAGGATTTCGGACTTGATTAAACTGGTAAAGACGATTTTCAGCTATGAAATCTATAAAATATTCGTTTATCTTGCCACTATTACTAACAGGAATAAGATATTTTTGACTAGTTTGTTCAGTCCACATTATATCGGATAAATTAAAATCTCCTATTAATATTGTATTACTTTGCTCAACTGATACACGGGAAACATTATCACAGAAGCTTTTAAGACACTCATAATTTAAAGGAGATGGCAAGTAAACACCGCAAATCGATAAAGTAAAATTTGGGTTACCTGCTTTAAAATCAATGTTAATCCACATATCCTCGTAGTCGCTTTCCCATTTCATAACTCTATAACTTTTAAGTTTTTTTGATACTGCAATAAGTACGCCACCACCGTCATGCTTGGTACGCAAAATAGAAGATTCTTTGTCACGTCGAAAAACCACGTATCGTTTATCTATAATTTCATTATTTTATATACTTTCACATAGCCAAGTTTCAGTTAACACAATAATGTCAAATTCCGAATTTAAAATAGCACTATATACCTCATGAGTTTTGGTTTTAAGACCTCTAATGTTTTGATAAAAGACACTAATACAGTTCATCAACTAAACAAAAGTGTAACTGAGTTAAAAATATATTATATGTTTTAAATTTCTAAACAAAAAAAATAATAATAAATGGTATGGTTTTAAGAAATTTCGTTAAGGAACTCCAAGTTCTTAACAAGAATTACATCAGTGGACGGCGCTTTTCTTAAGTAGATGTTACCATTTCGCGACCAGACGAATTTATACGATTTCTCTTTGGCAAATCGACGAGCAGCTGCGTGTAATGCCTTGGCTTCCGGGGTAAGATGTTCACACACGAAGACAGGCATTTTTTCACCTGCTATTCCCAAATGTGAAGAGTTCAGTTTATCAGACGGATGGGTTTTATTGTAATTTATTACATTAGCAAAGAATTTATCTCTCAATAGGGGTGTTGCAAACTTCGCCAAAACAGTTCGTGGACGATTGTTCTCCTTATTCCACTTCGCAATCCGGGTGCATTTAACTATATGACCATCTTCTACATAGCTACCTAGCTAGTTTTTCCTATTTGTTTTGAAGTGTTAACTAAGTTTTCACCACGGTTTTCTGGTACACAATGAAATTCTAAATTATTTACTCTTGTTTCTTTTTCCATAATAGTCAATCTGGGATTTATTTTTATTTGATTTTCGCGAAGCTTAGTATTTTCATTTTTAAGGGACGATATTTCCTGCATAGCCTCTTCTAATTTTTTTTTGTTGCTTATCGTACATAGATTGTAATATATCCATTTTATTTTTAATTTCCTGTATACCACTTACTTCCAGCCTAATAGCTTTGAGGTCTGGCCTCACTGAATTTTCTAATATATTACTTATTTCGTCTCGTATCAAGGATATTATGGTATGATTTACAGGTGTCTGCGTTTGTGTAGGAGAAGAATATATTTCATCATTTTTTGTAATTGGAGAGGCCATAAGGCCTTCAGTTTGGTTACGGCTCTGGCAAAATGAGCATTTAAATGACTTCACACTTAGGGATGTCTTCTTAAATGACGTACTGGTAAAACCAACACATTGATAGTGAAACAAGGCCGGACAGGCTGTGCATTTAATCTTATCTTTTTGAAGTAGGGTTGTATTACATGAATTGCAAGACATGTTACTTGTAAATAAAAGTATTAACTATATAACTTTCAATGTTGAAGATTAATCGGATATAATTTGTTTAATTTGTATTCAATATAAATTTAATAGTGGGTATCTTCGCTTACTTCTCTGCCCATCCAACGCACTTTGCAATATACAGCTGCTGTGGTCGCGCAAAAAAGGTCTTAAGCGCCGTGCATGTGAAGCAGTGTTGCCAACTGCACCGTAATTACGGTAAAAACACCGTAATCAGCATAGATCTACCACCTACCGTAGGATTATAATTACGGTAGCAAAATACACCGTAATACCCAATGAAGATCGTATCTAAATATGATTATCTATAAACTAAAATAATTTTAGCGAGTTTGATTGTTTACTTTCTTTACGTTACAGTATTTTCCTTTTATTCTACCGACAACACTGTTTTATGCGTCGGGAAATCCCCCAATAGCGTGGTACCAGCTTGGAGATATTATGCGAACGAATTCGGGGGTGCTGTATGTATTTGAATTTCAATGAATACTTAGAGCTTTTTAATTTTCCTAGTTTATTTGTATCATAAACGAGATACGACTAACATTTCATTAATACTTAAAATTACGTAAGAGTTTGTTGTGTTGTGTTGTGTGTGATCTGAGTGTTTAAAAATATGGAGAGTGATGGCGACAGCGCTACTGATCGAGAAGATAGCTTAACACGAGTACCGGCTAAGAGAAAGCGTTATAAGCAGAAGTTTCGGGAAGAATGGTTGCTGAATAAAGAATATAGTGACTGGCTAAGAAAGGATAATAGGGACTTATCGAAGGCGGTCTGCAATGTTTGCAATACATCTTTCAGTGCCGAAATAAGTGTAATAAAACGCCACAAAGAAGGAACTAAACACGTGAATAATTTAAAGAGGTGTAGTGCTTCAACGTCCAAAAAACAACAGTCTATAGTAAGCGTTTTTAAATCCATGCCAACTAATGAAAAGCAATTGGTAAAGACTTCAGAAATAAAATTAGCTGCTTTTGTTGCTGAGCATAAGGTATCTCATAATGTCATGAATCACTTAGCAGATTTGTTACCAAAGTTGTTCCCAGATTCTCAGATAGCCAAAGATATTAGATTAAAAAGAACTAAAGTTCAAGCTGTGATAAATAACTGTATTGGGGAAACTGAAAAAGAAAACTTGATCAGTGACTTGAAATCACAAATGTTTTCAATTTTGATAGACGAAAGCACAGATATTGCTGTAGTAAAAACAGTAGCTGTAGTGGTCAGGTATTTTGATCCAATGATTGGTAAAGTTATCACTCGGTTTTGGAATTTGATTCAATTATTTGATGAGAAAACCACCGATCATGTTGCAAATGCCGAAAAACTTTTTAATACTGTTATAGGTTCATTTCAAAAGTATGAGATTCCTACGGAAAACATCATAGGTTTCGGCTCTGATGGATGCAACACAATGATGGGATGTAACAATTCAGTTTCAAGTCGATTTCGTCAACGTTGTCCAGGCATAATTGTGATCAAATGCATTTGCCATTCTCTGCATCTTTGCGCTAGTGACGCATGTAAAGAGCTTCCACTAAATTGTGAAAAAATGGCGCGAAATATTTATAATTATTTTAAATCCAGTAGTAAAAGGCAGAGTGAGTTGAAAGAGTTCCAGTATTTTGCTGAGGCGGATGTGCACAAAATTCTAAGACCAGCCCAGACTAGATGGTTGTCTTTAAATGCAGTAGTGCAAAGGATTCTGGAACAATGGGATGTATTACGTCTTTATTTCAATAGCAAATGGCTGGAAGAATCGGAGTGCCACGATATTCATGCATGCCTGAATGATCCCATAATCAAGGCTTATTACTATTTTTTGGCTTGGATGTTGCCAAAATTTACAACATTAAATAGCTGTTTTCAGAGCGAATCTATTTTAATTACGAAACTACATGGGAAAATGACAGCTTTTTATAAAGAACTGTTACTATTGGTTTTACACAGAAATTATGTAAATTCCGCTCCTATTGAAACTATAGATCCAATGACAGAAATAAATCACAAGGACCTAAAAGACATATATCTAGGTTTAGGTGTCCAGAAAGAACTAGATTCTGTTGAAAATGAAGAAAGAAAGTTAACTCTCAGAAAGATGTGTAAAAATTTTATTATTAGAGCTTGTGTGGGCCTTCGTAAACGATACTGTTTTAATGACAAAATTATGACAGAAATAGCAAAATTTGATCTAGAGAAAGTAATTTCTGATGACAGGGAAGAGTCAGTTTCGTCGTAATTTCCATTACTGCCCAGAATTGCCCCAACTTCAATCCAACATCAACAAGAACTAGATGATGAGTGGCGGAAGTTGCCGTTATACTACAAAGATTTGGATTTAAGTCAACCCCCTGACGTATTTTGGCACCAGGTAAGTTTCCATGTAAACTCGAAGCAACGTGAATTCATATTGGTTTCTATTGTTATAGCAGCCTAATCATTTTTTTTTCAGGTCGCAGAACTGCGTGACCAACATCGAGAAGGGAATACCTATTTCCAACACTTGCCAAAATTTATGTTGGCCATTTTGTCTCTGCCACACTCGAATGCTGAGTGCGAAAGAGTCTTCAGCAGAGTAAACACGGAATAAACTCCTAACGAAATCCATCAAGGGAAATCTCTTATCGCAGCAAGCCATACAGCGTCACGGAAAAAACTGTGTTGATTTTAATCCCACTCACGCTATGATCGCAAAACATAACAATGATATGTATAAAAATATTGAAACAATTATACTGTCCGATTCTGATTAAAAATATGTTTTTTTTTTAACTCTGACCCATAACATGCTACTAAATAAACAAGGTAATTCTACCGTATTTCAAATATATATTACAACATAATTTCGAAAATTCTACCGTATTTTTAGAAGAATTCTACCGTCCGCTAGATTTCAGACTTGGCAACACTGATGTGAAGGCGCTTACGCGTTCATGTCAACACAGCGAAACAACACTTATCAAATTCTTGGAGAAAAAATTTTCGCACATCTATAATTGTTTTGATTTATAATTTCACTATTTTATTGTACTAAATAGTCAAAATCCATGGCTTAACTTAAAACACATTCCCACAGCTAATTTAACTCTTATTTTTCACCATCTTTTTTTTAAATTTAGACGGAGCTAACAGCGCGTGCGTTACGTTGCGAACGACAATGTTACTGATGACGACAATATTATAAATATACATATAGTATTGAAGTAAAACAAACACGAGTATTTTTAATGACGTGTCTAGTGAGCGGCAAAGTGCGTGAGTTTTTATTATAGTAATTAATGTATATTATAAAAATATACATTAATTACTATAATATTGATAAATTTATATAAAAGAAGTCAAATAATTATAACTACCTTCTATGTTTTTATGTCTCCATGTAACTGTGTGCTGGTGACTAACTAGAAATCAGAAATCACAAGTGGTACTTTTCTTTAAATGTATTTTATTTAAAGAAAAATTCAAACTCAAAGCTTATGAACGATGTAGCTCATCGGTCTCCTTATCAACTGCATAAAGCAACTATTTTTTGTTAACTGTTTTGAGATGCGGGTGCAAATAATATGTATTCAAATTGTAATGTGATGTGATGCAGGCTTGCACTGATGTTAAAGGTTAAAAATTGAATGTAGAATCAGTTGTTATTTTGTATTAAAGTTTGTAAATTTAATTGTAAAAATTTAAAAAATCAATAAAAATTATTTAGAATACAATTATTACTATAATACCTAGACATTTATAAAAAAAAAGTATTTAATTTGTAACTACCTTTTTCTCCTTTTATACCACATATCATCCACATAATAGTCTCCAAGTAAGTAAAAATACTTACCCTTTTTTAAATTTTTGTTCAATTTAAACACGAGTTGCTAATAATATATTTATATATTATAGGCTATTTAGCAGGCAAAGAACTCAGAGATCACAAGTGTTACTTTTCTTTATATTTTGTGAATTTAATTGTAAAAATAAAACAAATATTCAATAAAAATGATTTTACTCTTTAATTACCATATTACTAAGACATTAATCTAACTTTAATACATTTATTACATACATATTTTATTGGTTAAAAGACTTTCAAATACAAACTATATAACTACTAATATTACAAATCATGAATACATACAAAGCTTGAATTTATTAACAACTACTTACAGACATGACTGTCTTTTATGTATCAGAATACTTAATTATTTTTTACACTTACATACTATTACACAAATAACTATTTCTTAAAATTTTCTATTTCTAATAGAAGTTTTTCATTTTCTAATTTAAGTTTTTTTATTTTCTAATTTTGACTCCAGCCACAGTTTTTTAAATGTATAATATTCTGCAATGGCACGGTCTCTAGCAGATTTGGACCCATCACCCTGCAATTTCCTTTTACCTGTAAAATACAAATTAATTTAATTTATTAAATTACAAGTTAGCCTTTTTTAAAATAAAAAAGGAGTATATCTTTTGCCTATTACTATTTTACCTCAATTTACACTGCTTTTAAACTAAAGCGGACTACAAGTTTGACCATACCACCACCTCAGCGAATGGAACACCATGTGAAATTGTTATCTTATAAATTAAAATTCTATCAACATCAAAATAACCATTACCTGTTTTAGGAACATTGAATGTTACTCTCCGTGGTGTATCCGAAACTTTATTTTGTTCAGCAACAGCATAGGTGTTAACCTGAGCCATTGCTGAATGTGGAGAAGTAGGGGTCACAACCATTTCCTTTTGCGGATCTGGCACTGGTGTGTCCAACTCTAGGATTTCTAGATTGACCCTAGCATCACCACCTAATTCCTCTACACCATTTCCATTTGGCACGATACCACCACCATCACTAATCACTACAAAGTGCTCGGGTTCCCTATCTCCCCCATAAGGAACAACTAATCCACTAGCTGTATTCCACAATAAGCTGGTAACACGATCCAGTATTTCGTCTGGGGGTATATACTCACCAACACCACCGCCAGTCTGCAAATCAAAAAGATGAAATTAATAAAGAATGTAAATAAAATGGTTAATCATTTATTTATACTTAGATTAAAAATAAATAAACAACGAAACTAACGTTTATGCTGTTCATTCTTATTTTAGTGCAACGTTTACGTGCATTTTTCTTTAAATTCTCCCATTTCAGCCGAAGCTGTTGTGGTGTCCGACGACAACTTGTTGCTGTAGCATTAAACTGCTCGGCTAATCGTACCCACTCTTTATCTTTCATTTTATTGCTGCTGGCGTTTGTGGCTTTAGATATTATAATTTTGCTCATTTTAATAAGTTCGAGTAAGGCTTTGCTTTCATCTTTTGAAAGTGGCTTGCTCTTTATCTGAAATAAAAAGCGATTTATGTAGTTGTACATCAAGCATCAAATGATACTAATATCTAATGTATTACAATTTAACTTACTATTTGTGGCTCCATTATTTTATTATTCAAAAAGTATTTGCTGTAAATATTTCTGTTCTCGAACTGTGATCGAACCGAAGCAGTGAAACTTGATAATTGTTTTGACCGACGCGATGAGCGACAGCGATGACCGATGACGCTGCGGCCCACAGAGTACCTTTGTATAAACTGAAATAGAGACCAATCCACAGAGTACCTTTGTATAAACCACAGAGTACCTTTGTATAAACTGAAACTGCGGCCGCTACTGACCGGCGGCGTTCCGTTACGTGATTGTTTTCAAACCATAGTTACATTGATTTAAAAAAAATATAATCATTTTATAATTTTAGGGATAAAAAAGGAGTTAATGTAATAACTTCTAATTAAAGTCAATAGTTATAAATCTAAAATTACACTTTATGTTATTATATTAATACAACTATTTGAAAGAAGCAATAGTCGCTATGCATAAAACGAAACAGTCGAGAGGAAACGGATCGATCCAAACATCTGTTTGGATCGACTGCGATCGCCGCAAAAAAAAAGATTGGGCTTGTTAAGTTATGTTATTGGGATGTGGATTTGGATCGATCTTTGTATAGGGTACAATCTCGGATTGCTATTAATCCTAAAAAAGAGATACGTTATTAAGTTCGGGCGTAAGTCTTCAGGTACGACATAATTATTGCAGTTGTGTTGTACCTGAGAACTGTTAAAACCAATTCTTCGCATTTCTTGCAGCCCAGATATCCTTTCAATGCCTAATTGGTTAAACAGAACCTTTTTTAGTCAGTTTTTGAAAAACTGAAATTTATTATAATTTTACTAATTTTACTATTAATTTTACTGATAATTTACTAATTTTAACTTATAAATTTTATTTTCAGATGAAGCAATTAATATTAGTGGACATAGATTAAATATCATTTTTGACCCTCCTCATCTCATTAAGGGCATAAGAAACAATTTTCTGACAAAAAATATTAAATTTGGTGAGGAAATTTCTAAATGGTCTGACATAGTTGATGTGTACAAAATGGACTGCAATGCTATTGGAGGCACAAAACTGATGCCCAAATTGAATGATGAGCATGTTATTTTGGGGAAAATAAAAAAAATGAAGGTGAGAAGTTGTATAGTTCTTTAGTGCTTCATCTACATGGAAAGTTTCTATATAAATATAACTAAATAAAGTCATAAAAACATATTAAACAAATAATATCAATATGGGAGCTATTTAATAGTTGCTAAATATCATTGGTGGTAATTATATTCATCATCATCATCATCATTACAGCCTACACTGCTGAACATAGGCCTCCCCTATATATTGCTTAGGGGGTATTTACTATTATTGCCACGCTTGGCTTAGGCAGGTTGGTAACTGCATTTTTTATATTTATTAGTTGTAAACAGTTTCCAACTGTTGCCAGTCCCATATGGGAATTTTATAATTTTCACATTGAGTGGGGTAGTGGATTCTCTTACCCCGCCACTAATTAGTGAATTTTTATTTATATTATTATATTAATTCCAGATAAAGTGGATCTTGTCTGTACTATAGTGCTATACTTTACTCAATGTCATTTGTTGGTGTTGTAAGATGCGACTATTTTTTTTTATAAGATAGGGTGACAAACAAGCACACAGTCCACCTGATGGTAAGTGGTTGCTGTAGCCCATGGACATCTACATCTATCCTTGATTACAATTCCACACCCACCATATGAAACACAGCAGCATTAAGCTACAATTTATGCTGGTATTCCGTGAGAGCGTGGTCCTTCCCCGGTTGAGCCGAGCGATTCATGCTACACTATACTACTAATATAA